AGTGGGAGGCCTCAGCCTGGGGGGAGCCCTGGACATGCTCTCCATAGGCGGCCCATGCCAGTGCCCACTCCATTCCCACATAGCTCCCACCATATGCCACCCCAAACTTACCACACCCACCTACCCCCTCTCCCAGACTCTGTTTCCCCACTTCACTATCGCCCAACTCCTGCCTCTAGCAGGGTTTGCTCTCCCGCTGGCAGCCGCACCTCCACACCCCAACTCACTCCTGGGCCGGCCAGCTGACCAGAGGGCCCGGCCAGAGTTGTGAATCATCTGGAATCTGAGAGACTGACTTCTTCCCCGACTCCTTTCCTTTCCTACCAAATCTGCCCCACCCTCGGCCATCACCTGTCCCCACTTTTTCAGACACCCCTTAACCCCAGCGAACTTCCTTGGCTGTCAGGGGCCAGGGCTCCCTTTCATTCCCCACCTTTCAAACTTCTCCCCTGCCCCTGATTCAGGGAAACCTGGGCTTCTGGCTGAGGTCAGGCCATGGGCCCTCTCCCGGCGGCGGGGCGGCGGCAGCGAGGGCTCCTTCCAGCCCGCCGGCGGCACCCTGCGCCCACCAGCCCACTCCGCCCTGGTCCCTGGTCTCACCAGTGGCAGCAGTGGGCCAGGCACGGTGGGGAGGCCCATGTCCGGCCAGCTGTGGCCTCTTACTCCCCCATCAGGGCTCAGGCAGCGGAGGCAGCAGTGGTGGCGGCAGGCGAAGTGGCATCCACCGAGTCCCGGAGTCCCGGGATGAGCCGGTCAGGAGGTCCCAAGAGGAACCCTGGCCTTAGGTGGGGGAGTGAAGGGTTGAGTTTGGGATGAAGATCAGGATCCAGTCCCAGGGGCCTCAAACCCTGAAGGCCAGAACCCGAGCCTGAGCCCGGACTACGAGAAAGAGGTGGGAGGGAAAGGGAGAGAGGCTGATGGGTGTTGCAACAGCAAGACAGGAAGGACTTGGGGGAGGAGGCTGGAGGAGGCGGGTAGAGGCGGGAGGAGGGGGCAAAGGTTTTTTAACTCTTTGTAGCACAGTGAGAGGCTCCACAGTCCTGGATCCACCAACCTGACCCTCCCAACCAAATACCCACGCGCAGTAAGCCCCCTCCCTCCTCACCCCCATTCCCTGGCTTCTCCCAATTGAATAGCAATAGACAGAACCAGGGTTTTGGGTTCAGATTCCCTGGGGTACAGTTCAGAGTCCTCTGCTTTTTAGCTGGGTGGTCTTGGACAAACAATCTAAACTTTCTGAGCCTACTTTCCAACGTGCCAAATGGTGAGACCCCATTTCAAGTGGTTGCTGTAAGGATTGATTGAAACAGGGCAGATAGGTGTCTGATACATGACAAGGACTCCATGTTCCTCAGTAACTCTTCCCGTTCTCCCAGAGTTCTCCACTGACATCCTCATCTCCCACTTTCTTGGGAATGTACCCCTCCAATCTAAACCTCCGAGTAAATCCTAACCCCAGTTTTCTGCCCTGGCTTGTGGCCTTCACACCCTCCCCCCAATCTGGTTCTCACCCAGCCTGTGCTAGGCTGCGTCTCACAGCTGCTGAGCCTGGCTCTGCCACCAAACATTGGTGGGACCTCCACTGGGTCTTGGCTCCCTCGTTATGGAGTGAGAAGAACAATGCCTATCCCACCAACACAGGAAAGCGGTGTCACGAGGATTAATGAGATCACATCTGTGAAAACGCTTTGGGAATTCCAGATATCTCAATCAGATATTACTAATACGTTCCCAGAGCCCTTTTCCCAAATATCATTCTGTATTTCAGTCCAAAGCGACCTTCGAGATCATCTACTGCACCTTCTTGTTTCATAGATGAGAAAACTGAGAGCCGGAGACACACAGAGCATGTTCCCTGAGGACCCTGAAACCCAGGGGCCCATTTTGCTACCTTAGACACATGGCCACTTTTCTGTCTGTCCCTCTGGTTCAGACCCCACTCCCTGACTCTGGGTATTTTATGTCACCCCAATTCGTGCAGGACATCTCCAAAATGAATCACACAAGGGTACAATGTTCACTCAAATGTCCTCTGAACAAAATGACCTTCCCTCGACCCAGCCCAGGCCCGTGGTCCTCTGGTGGCTGAGTTTGCTAGAAATGCAGGAAGACAGAGAAGTGAGGTCCAAGGGCTTTGTGACTTGGAATCAGAGCTCCTGGTTCCTTCTCCCCTTGATCCAGCAGCTCAGCTCCCTCCCCCAGAGTCCACCCTGCCTGGCTTTTCCTGGCCTCCCCTCTCTGATCCTAAGGACAGAGCATTCATAGGTGAGAATGGAGCTTGGATGTCCCCACCTTGGGCTGACTCCACTCCATCCCACCCCCCAGCCTCTGAAGAACTGGAGAGTTGAAGCTGGACTCAGAGGAACTCACCTCTACCAACACACAGGGAGCCTCCAAGGATAGTACAGTGGACCGGAAGCAGGGCTCTCAAAGCAGAGTCATTGGAATCAAGTGCAAGAGTCAGAACGCCCAGTTTCCACTGTGAAGAAGCAAGGAGGGCCACAGGCTCCTCACCTACAATACGGGGAACACCCCAGTACCCTCATGTCATAGGCACTGATAAGTAAATACATATAAAGTGTTTAGCAAGTGTTTGTGGGATACCAAGGATTCAATAAGAAAGAGGCAGCAATATTAACCGTTTGTGTTAATAATTAATAATGACCTCAATGTCCTAGTTTTAATGTTACAAGGAATTTTAATAGTCTCTGCCAACTGTTCAAGCCATTACACATAGCCTGGTAGAAAAAGAGAATCTCTATCATTGTTCAGGATAAATGCTAATTCACTCAATAAGTTTAAAGTTTTGAGAAATGTGGTATTAAATTGTTTTTATTTTATTATTTATTATTTTTTTAATCCTCACTCTAGAGGGAGTAGAAGGGGGGGAGGGAGGGAGAGAAACATCAATGTGAGAGAGACACATTGATTAGTTGCCTCCTGCACCAGCCCCAACCAGGGCTGGGGATCAACCTGCAACCCAGGTATGTGCCCTTGACCCAGAATTTAACCCACAACCCTTTGGTCTGAGGGCCGATGCTCTAACCACCGAGCAAACCAGCCAGGGCTCAATAAAACTGTTTTTAAAAAGATGGTGAGAGTTAGATAGACCTAGGAATATGAAAAGCTAACTAGTTTCATGGAGAAATTTCTTCCAGGCAAAGAAGAAGGAATAATGGTGAGAGAGAGAATGGGATAGATGGAGAAATCGAAGAGGAGCAAATTAGGGGATGACAGAATTGGTTGTTAGGGTCTATGGAGCAAAGGATAGAGAAGAGAGCTTCAGATGGCAGAGTCCCCCCGCCCCATCACCTCTCTCTCTCTCTCTCTCTCTCTCTCTCTCTCACACACACACACCCACACACACACACACACACACACACACTCCACAGCAGTACAGAGTGATCCAAAGGGCACTGGACTCCAGATGAGGATGATGTGGGTTCAGCCTCAGCCCTTCCATCCTGACTCTGTGGGTCATAGAAAGAGACCCAGGTTCCAGGCTGGTTCTGTAAGAATCATGAACTTGAGCAAGTTATGTCGCCTGCTAAGGAAAAGAAGGCAACTTAACTGGATCTTCCCTAACACTCAAATTCTAACTCCTAACCCTGAGGTCCAGGGGCAGCATATAGATACGGGATGGAGAGAAGGAAACCCCACAGAGTGGAAACTCCACAGGCCAAGACAACTCCAGGTGGGGAGGAGCTGATTACCATTATCTGTAACAGGTCAGCTGTCCAACAGGACTGCCCACCCCAGCCAGAGGACAGGCCGCTGGGGACAGGTGGGGCAAGGCTGGGCTGTGGCAGAGAGTACACAGGGCGGACTGAGCCTGAGGGCTCTGACGGAAGAGACTGTTGTAACACCACCATTTCCCTCTCATCAGCTTGCGTCTAGGAAAGGGAAGTCGGAAAGCACCGCATCAGTTCCTGGTCACAACCTTATCCATCTCTCCACTCCCTTCACTATCTCTTCCTCTTTTCCCAAGATGCACTTGGCTCCTCAGGACAGGGAGACTGTAACTGAGGGGAGTAAGACCAGGGCAGTAAGGGAAATGTCCGCAAAGTGACAAGGAAGGGTAACTTCTAGGTTTCAAGTGTCATGCTGCAGTGGGGGGAGGAACCAGGGGCTCGAAAACCCAGGCTCCACTCAGACATCCCTCAGTCTCTTCTCTATGGAAACCTGGGAGGGCCTGGCTGGTGTGGTTCAGTGGTTGAGCATTGACCCATGAACCAGGAGGTCCCAGTTTGATTCCCAGTCAGGGCACATGCCCAGGTTGTGGGCTCGATCCCCAGTTGGGGGTGTGCAGGAGGCAGTTGATCAATGATTCTCTCTCATCATTGATGTTTCTATCTCTCTCTCCCTCTCCCTTCCTCTGTCTGAAATCAATAAAAAACATAGTTTTAAGAAATAACCTGGGAGGATTCCCACTGCTCTCACTCTAGGATGATGCAAGAATGAGAATACACAGGCTTTGAGGGCCCAGAAGAATGTGGCCTGAGTCTCATCCTCCTCCACCACAACTGTGCAGTTGATGGGGAGGGAGCAGATGAGGACGTTATGTTGCAGCTGGGTGGTGAGTGGTGGGTGCTCCGCGAATGGAAGAATGGAATGAAAGATTACTGATGATGGTAACTAAAGTTGGGAGGAAAAGGACGTTCAGACAATGGACGGGTGAGGGAGTACGTGACTAGGGGAGGTGGGGGATTATCCCAAGCACTGCCTAGTAGGTCTGAGGGGAGTGCCCACGTCTTTGCCCTCCCACCCTAACATGGTGATGGGCACATAACAGATGCATATCAATGTCCATGGAGGAACTAGCAAGACAGTTTGTCTCTCCTGAGGCCCCCAAAGAATGGTCATTTCCATAGTGAAGCTGAGGGGTCAGAGTCTGTCTTCCTCACCCCCACCCCAGGACCTCCTAGGAGCTTGAGCAGAGACCCAGGGACTCAGATCCACTCCCTACCCCCTATAGGGCACCCCATTCAACTCTCCAGACATTTTTTTATGCAACAAATATTTATTGAGTGCCTGCCTACTTGCTCCAAGTCGGACACTGGGCTAGACCCTGAGGTTACATAAATGAACAACAGTCCCTGACCACAAGGAGCTCACAGTCTAGTTGGGGAGGCAGACACAAATGAACAGGAAAGTAAAATGCAAAATCAGCATTCCAACCAATGATATGGTGCACTATGGGAGTCCAGGGAAGAGGGGAGTGATCAATTCTGGGGAAGACAAGATGGGGCAGAAGCCTTCATAGAAGTAGTTGTGTCTGTGTAGGGTTCTAAGGGATGCATAGGAGTTCTCCAGCCAATGGTGGGGAAAGCTTCCAGGTTTAGGAAATAGTTTGAGACGACTTGCAGAGGTGTGAAGGATACAGGCAGAGTGCTAGGATGGGCTGTGGGGGGCGGGGGGTGGTGGTGGTAGGGGTATAGATGAGGCTGGAAGAGTCGTGGGTCCAACTGGAAACACCAAACCTTTACTGCACTGGTCTGCTCCAGCCCTACTCTGGGGAGTCATGGAAGGGGACTTGCCCAAGAACTAACTCAGGGGGCTTTTGGGTGAGGTTCCCCACCCAACTTCAAGAAGAGGAGCAAAGGTCCGTGTCACTGGAAAGCAGTGTGGCCGGGCCAGTCAGAACTGGCTTCAGTCATCCTTGGGTAGGAGACCTGGGCATGCCTTTGTGTGCCCTTGTGTGTTTTGTTCTGGTCTTCATTTGTTTCCTAGCAAAGTTCCTTGTCAAAGCTCCAAGTCTGACTTGGCTGATCCAAGGGAAAAGGAGATTTCTCTCCACTTGGATGAGGAAGCCAGAGGGTTCTAGAGGCAGGACCAGGGGGTACTGGGCAGGAGCCAAGGGCAATTCTGGGCAGCTTCCGTGGCTCCTGTTTTCCAAGCAATTTCTGTAGCTCCTTATTCACCCCGCTTTCCTCCTCCACACCAAAGGCAGTTGGGGCAGCTGAGAACAAGCCCAAAACATTCCTTAATCCTGCCAAGGTCTGTCCCCACCCACCAAGGGAAGCTGCTTGCCTCGGGGGCTGACACCCTCCTTTCCTCTCAGGTTTCCTCTCAGGGCTCCTCCAGGGTGAAGACAGAGGAGCTGGCCCCTGCCAAGCTGGATGGAGCTGGGCAGGGGCCCAGGGTGGCATAGGCTGGTGGAGGGGCAGTCAAGGTTGGGGAAGTATCAGGGCTTGGCAGGGATGCGGCCAGGGAGGAGAGCTTGGGGCAAACGCTGGAAGGGAGGGAGGAAGCTGGAGTGGAGGCCACCTCCTGGGCACCTCTGCCCCCTCGGCCTGGAGACCAGTATCGGCTTCTGAACCTCCGGAGCAGCATGAGGAATGTAATGACCATGAGGTCAAAGATGAGCTCCGCCATCTCCACCACAGACAGCACCGAGGAGCCGAACCACAGGCTCCACTGGCTGCCCAGGTTGGACAGGAGGGTGACCATCTGTGAGGGCGAAAGGCACACTGACCACTGGGCAGAGGGCCCAGGGTGGGCTCCGGCAGAGGAGTCCTATCCCTCCTTACCTGAGGTCCTCAGCCACCCCTCTCAGCCTCTCAGTGGCCCCCTGGACCCCTTCTGTCCAAGTCATACCCACCTGGCACACCCTTCCCTCCCACTACCCCAAGAGGCTTCATCCCCCAGCCAAGTTCCCCTTCTTCCAACCCTCTCCCCCTCACCCCTCTCCTTGGTCCCCTACCTTCAAGGCCCAGACACTCTGGCCCAACAAAGGCAACCCCTTGTTTTCCCTGACCCCCCAGAAAATCACAGGCTCAGTGAGGCAGGACGTACCGTGACGGAGGGAGACTCAGAATTGGTTTTGTAGTTCAGCTCCTTGAAGAAGACATTGAGTTTGGCAACTCCGTTTCTTTGGAGAAGGGGAGAGGGTGGGAAGAAATGGCAGAGGATTAACTTCTCAGAACCTCACAAACACCCTCCTCTAATCAACTGTATCAATCCTTCTTTCCAGATTTGATTTTCCTCCCAAGGATTCCTTTCTTGGGGCTGGGACCAGGGTAGGACTGACCTCTTGTTTTTGATGGTGTAATTATTCTGTAGGGATAACATCCGGAAGACCCAGTCCTGGGAGAGAATTGGAATGTCAAGGGGGCCACCCATATGCTCCAGGCTTACAGAGTTGGGGGTGGGGTCAAACACACCCACATAGATATACCCAGAGAAGACCACAGAGTCATACACACGTCCCCTGTCCTTCCCCTTCCCCACTTTACCTGGGATGTCACTGAGGGCCATCGCGAGTAACCTGCAGAGAGCTTGTAACTGGTCACACTGGGAATGGAGAGAGGCACTCAGTAATGGGGGTGGGGCTCTTCCACTCAAAGGCTTAGCTGAGTACCCGTATTCCACCCAGCCAAGCAGCCCGCTGCCCAACCTGTGTCCAGGCGAAGGGGACACTCACCTGCACGGCTTCAGGCACTTGGTGAAACAGCCCAGGCGATCTGAGGAGAAGGCACCCTGGAGCTTATAGTAGCAGTAGCCTGTGGGTGCAGAGTGGACACCTCAACCTTCTCTGCCCCACACCCAAGAGGCCTCTCAAGATCCCGGGCACCCCCTTCACAAGAGTATCAGATTACCGTGATGTCTCCTGAGTGGCTGCACCCAAAACAGTTTAAGAAATTAAGCTAATTTGGGGGGGGGAGGGGCGGTACACTACACCTATGTAAAGAAGTGTAGGATTTAAACAAAAATTAGAAAGTCAGAAAGAAGGGGAACAATTGTGTAAAGTAACGAGATTAAAGCACAATGAGATATCACTTCATACCCACTAGAATGGCTATAATTGAACAAAAGACCAACATCACCCCAATAAATTCAGTTTAAAAAAGGACAACAGCAAGTGCTACTGTAGAGAAACTGGAACCTCCTACATTGCTGTTGAGCGTGTAAAATGGTGCGGCCACTTTGGAAAACCGTCTGGCAGTTCCTCAGAATTTTAAACATACAGCTATGATCTGACTCAGAAATTCCACTCCTAGGTATATACCCGAGAGACTTCAAAACATATGTTCACACAAAAACTTGTACACAGATGTTCATAGTCACTATAGTAAAAAAAAAAAAAAGGTATAAAAAACCCAAATGTCCATCAAGTGATGAATGAATAAACAAATGCGGTCTGTCCCTACAATGGAACATTATTTGGCCATAAATAGGAATGAAGTTCTTGCACATGCTACAAGATGGATGAATCTTGAAAATATCCCAGTCACAAAGGACCATAGGTTACATGATTCTACATATACGAAATGTACGGAACAGGCAAATCTAGAGACAGAAAGCAAACTAGTGTTTGCCAAGGGTGTGGGGGGTGGGGGGTGGGAGAGGGAGAAGGGCACTGTGGGTGCAGGGAATGGGGAACTTGAAGAGTGCAAATGGGTACAAAGTTTCTTTCTGGTGTGATAAAAATGGCTGTGGCCATTGTTGCACAACTCTATGACTATACTAAAACCTAAAACTATCTTAAAATTGAATTGTGCACTTTAAATGGGTTGAATTGTCTCAAAAAGCTGTTACCAAAAAAAAGAAAGAACAGTAGGATTATAGATTCCCTTTCTCCCCCATTTGCCAAAGTCTAAGTAAGGTTATATTGTTCTTCTTGCTACTCTTAGTCACCCAGTCTGGAAGTCCTCCTTCATTTCTGACCCAAATTTCTCAGTCTACCAGGACTGGGGATCTTTAATTAGGAAGACTGGGAAACAGCGGGGCCCTTTTCTCTGGGGAGTGAGCAGTCCTTAGGAAACGCAACAGACTGAATTTTTAACCCAGTGCCTTTCCCTCCTCCTCACAGCTTCTCAGCAATCAGTACTGTTATTTTTCTCCCACAGATCTTCTTCAAACTCACAAACACTTAGAAATCACTGTTTGGGGGCCGAGGGGAGCAGTGGGCAGGGAGCCATGTCTCCCCTCAGGGTCTCAGCTTGCTTATCTGAGAGAGGAGAAGGTGAGGCCAGGAAGAAACACACCAGCTCAGATGCTCTATGATTTTCTAAGGTCAGAGACACAGGAAGGGAGGCCACAACTACAAAGTCCAGCAGGGGAAAGAGCTGGGTGGAGCAGACCCAGGAAAGGAAGGAGGCCGCAAGATCAACACAGACAGAGCCAAGACAGGCAGACACGGAACTCCGGGGTCTGCAGGGCCCCTGCCTCGTCCTGAGAGGTGTGAAGGTGTGTGTCCTCCAGCAATGGCCAGCCACCCACCTGCAGGGGGAGAGTTGGTCCCAGGGGAACCTGGGAGAAGGAGACCCCGGAGGATCAGTCAGCTGCGAGGGATAAGAGCATGTGCACCAGGAAAGCCAACCCTCTGTCTCCATGGTTTCCTGTTTAGGATTTTCTCTCCCTCAGCTTCCTAGTACACAGCTTCCCTGCTGAGTAGCCCAGCTGTAGTGAACAGAAAAGGGGATCTGTCTACTCCCAGACCAGGATAAGGAGGAGACTCCAGGGCTCTCCAGACTTCTTTGATTGTGCCCTCCTGGAGGTAACAACTTCTTAAATGAGCAGCTCCAGTATATGTATTTGGTTTATAAAGCACATACCTGCTACTATTGAATTGATGCACTATGGACATTATAAAACATACATAAAATGGGATGTGTAAGAGAATGATAGAGACACATTTAACTTCTGGTATTTCCTCCCTGCACCCAGTGAGTTACCCCAGTGCCTGGCCCGGAGCCTTGAGTGAGACGAGGAAGCTATAGGCAGAGTGTGCACAGAACCCTCAGCAGGCCCCGGAGGGAACGGGGAGATTTTTCACACGCTCTCCCTACCTTATGCTGCAAGTTATTTTAAACAGAGCCATCCTACATAATAAAGAGCTAATATGCTAATTAGACCGGACCGTGGGAGGCGGGTGGGCCCGAGAGGCAGCTGGGGCTGCTGCGAGGGCCAAGCCCCTTGCACAATTTTGTGCACTGGGCCTCTAGTTCCTTTATAAACACACAGAAGCCAAAACAGAAGGGGAAAAACTGTGAGGGAGGGACAGAGATAGTGCATAGGAAACTGAGAGAGGCCAGTCTAAGGACTGGAAAACAAGAGACAGGGAGAATTCATCAGGGCCAGTGAGAGGCAGAAGCAGCCCCACAGATGAGGGTGCTGAGAGGAGAGGGCTCTCAGGAAAGGCCTGGTCGATGGGCAGCCCAGGGGCTCCCTCCTGGACTCTCACCCCAGGAATCATGCTTCTTGTAGTCACAGTACTCCACATGCTTGGGCCGTGGGTAGAAGATGTAGGCACAGCCACACTCCTTGACCATGCTCTCCTGGAAGCAAGAGTGAATACACACCTACAGAGAGGAGAGTGAGGGGGGAGGAGGTCAGGCCTGCGCTCGCCCACAAACAGCCCAGAAGAGACAGAGAAGGGAAGGACAAACAATTCTCTGTGCTGCACATCCATCCCTCTTTCCCCTGTTTACACACACACACACACACACACACACACACACTCACACACACACACACACCCTTCAGTTTTGACTGACCAACAGTGCAGGCCTGGGAGATGGTTGCCATAGAAACAGACTGGCCTTACCTGCTGTGTGTACTTGGAATGGTAAAGGTTCTTGACAGGGACGTCACTGCCATTATAGGTACAGTCTCCATAGTTGCCCCCAAGTCTGTCCAGGGTTTCCTGTGAATACACACACACCAAGATGTCAGAGGTCGCAGAGCAGAGCAGTGGCCCAGGCCTTCTCCTGAATCCTCTGTCTTCCCTCAGTCTCAGGTTGCATCTCCTACCCTGCCAGCCTCTCCTGTCTGCCTCCCCATTTCAAAACATGCTCCCAGTGGCCCCAACATCCACCTCAGTGCCACATTCAAGGATACCAGGCCCACAGCATCCCCTGGAATCCTAAGCATGTTCTGAATCCCTTCTAAGCACTCTCATCCAAGGCCCACCCCTCTGCTCCCTTCTTCCTGGTGTCCACTCTTCCAGCCCCTCGCCCCTGGTTTCTGCTCCTGTAGACCTCCACATACTCAAGGTCCCAGCCTGCATGATCCCCCTCCTCAGCCTCTGGTTGTCAACACCACTTCCCATGCCCCTCGCCAATCTAGGGCTCTCCTCCCAGGCTTCCCAGGCAGCATCCTTGCCTTCCTCATGCTGATGGAGGTCTCCACACCAGGCCGCAAGTTAAAGCCACCATCATCCATAAAGGCAGGCTCATCCTGCCCGTGCACCGTTACCCTGGCCCCGGTCACTGTGGACAGCAGCGGGATGAAGTCATTCTGCTCTGTGCGCAGTGTCAGGGACAGACCTGGGGTGTGTAGAGGGAGCAGAGTTGGGGGAAGGTCTTGGAAAAGCATTAGGGGATGGAAAACACCCTCTCACCCTGCCCAGTTCCTAATGCTCCAAGGAGAGCAAAGCAGAAAGACCTACAAATGGATGGATTCTGGGGGCGGGCTGGAAGGACTGGGACAGGGTTCCTATCACACCTGGAATAGACAACGTGGTACCCATAGTGGAGAAAGAACAGCGAGGACTCCTTCCAGGACTGAGATAGGCACATTATGGTGATGCCCAGAGGCTCACAGTATCTCTAGGATGGAGCTCAAGGTGGGTAAATGTGGGTGGGCAGGGCAGTAGGAAGGGCTGAGGCAGAGGTCAAGGATTGAGAGTATGGGGTGTTGCTCACCATTGTTGACCCCAGGCATAGAAGACATCCAGAGGTTGGAGTTGTTCTCGCCATTGAAAGTGTAGCAGTTTCCATATATCGGGTGGTGGAAGTGAGAGTAATTCCTATTCAGGAGGGAGAGAGAGAAGGGTCACAGAGAAAAGGGACCAGGGAGGGAGGGACTTTCAGAACGTTTTGTTTCCTGGTCATCTACTATGTGCCAACAGCCTGCGAGGGCATCATCTCCACAGCACAAAAGAGGAAGATGGGGCACAAACAGTGATGACAACTTAGGAGTCAAACCCAGGTCATTTACCTGCTAGCCCGGGTTTCTCCCAGCAGGCCACCTGACCTGCCTGGCCTTGTGACCTCTCTTGTGTCACTGTGTTGCATTGTGGAGACTCTTGCAGTGTCCCTAGCTTCTCGCATGTCTAAATCATAGTTCACCATTTGGATTCTGATCTCCTTAAAGACGGGAGCCAGATCCCATTCATCTCTGTATCATCTCTGGGTTAATTGCATAGTTCTTGGCATATAGGAGACAGTTAGTAAATAGTTAATAAATGAATGAAATGGAAGGGAACAGCAGAGAGTAAGGCCAGGGGTGAGCATGGAGCTGAGAGGAGGAAGATCAGATCCCAAGGCAGAAATGAGTAGGGTTCTGGTTGCATGGCTCTGAGCAGGTCATTTTTTCTAAGCTTATTCTTCTCATCTATAATAATCTATAATAATAAAAGTGTAATATGCTAATTATACCAGATAGCCTAATGACCTTCGGGACATCATTCCGGATGTCCTTCCAGATGAAGCCGCAGTGGCAGGGGCCGAGGCAGAGAAGGTTAGGGGCGATCAGGCAGGCATAGGGGATAGGGGTGATCAGGCAGGCAGGCAGAGTGGTTAGGGGGGATCAGGCAGGCAGGCTAGCGGTTAGGGGCGATCAGGCAGGCAGGCAGAGTGGTTGGGGCAATCTGACTACGAGATTGGGCCTGAACCGGCAGTCGGACATCGCCCAAGGGGTCCCAGATTGCAAGAGGGTGCCCGCCGGGCTGAAGGACACCCCGACTCCCGTGCAAGAATTTCATGCACTGGGCCTCTAGTCTATAATAATAAAAGCTAATATGCTAATTAGACCAGACGTCCTTCTGGATGACCAGCCAGGCGAAGCTGGGGCTGCGAGGGAAGCCTGGGTCCCGGGTGCCAGGGGAAGGAAGGCCTACTCTTGCACGAATTTCGTGCATCGTGCCTCTAGTTGTAAAATAAGGAGATTGGAACAAGGTGATCTGGAATATCCCATTGGCCTTGAAGAAAGAAGGCACAGAGGTGTGAAATATTGGTGCACATTCTGGAAAGCACTAGAAAGTCAACATTTCCAGAGCAAAGGCTGGATTCAGGGAGTGATGGAAGAGGAAACTATGAAAGGCCAGGGCTGAGGGGCCTGTGAGCCCTGCTCAGTGGTAGAGGGGACAGATGCCATGTGTGGATGCACACTATGCAGCAGGTAACAGAGCAGATGCTGCAACATGGATGGATCTTAAAATGAGAGCTTAGTAAAAAAAGTAAGAGGTGAAATGAGATATACAACACAACACCATTTATATTACATACACATTGTGCAAAAACAGATACAAAGGGATACACACAAGTATATTGTAAGAACATATGAGAAGCATTATAACGTGAAGAGCACAGACTCCAGTACTAAATGACTAGCATTTGAATCATAGCTCTAACATTAGCTGTGGGACGAATGAAATCACTTTATCTGTGTGTGTTGTAATTTCCTTATCTGTAAAATGGGATACTACTTACCTCACAGGGGTGTTATGAGGATTAAATGACTCTCAGAACAGTGCTTAGCACTTAGGAAGAGCTATATAAGTTTACTATTAACATTAGAGGGATTTATTAAGATGGCTAACATCAGCCCTGGCCAGGTAGCTCAGTTGGTTAGAGTGTTACTTGATCCCCAGTCAGGGCACATACAGGAACCAAGTGCTTTCATAATAAGTGGAACAACAAATCTCTCTCTCTCTCTCTCTCTCTCTCTCTCTCTCTCTCTCTCTCCCCTTTCCCTTCCCCTCTCTCTCTAAAATCAATTTTTTTTAAAAAGATGGCTAAAGTAAAAAAGACAGACAATAATAAATGAAGGATGTGAAGAATTTAGAACTCTCATACATTGCTGGTGGGACTGTAAATGGCACCGCCACTTGGAAAACAGCCTGGCAGTTCCTCAAAATGTTAAACATAGAATTACCATATGACCCAGCAATCCCACTCCTAGGTATATACCTAAAAGAAATGAAAACATATCCATACAAAAACTTATACAGGAATGTTCATAGCAGCATTATTTATAATAGCCAAAAAGGGGGGGGGCGAGGACACAAAAAGTCCATCAGCTAAGGAATAGATAAACAAAATGTGGTATATCCATACAATGGAATATTATTCAGCCACTGAAAGGAATGAAGTACTGATACATGCTGCAACATGGATGAATCTTGAAGACATTATGTTAAGTGAAAGAAGCCAGATGCAAAAGAACACATGTATGATACATTTATATGACATATCTACAGTAGGAAAATCTATAGACACAGAAAGTAGAATAGTGGTTTCCAGGGCTTAGAGGAGAGGAGAAAATAGGGAATGACTGCTAATCAGTACAAGCTTTCTTTTTGGGGTGAAGATGTTCTAAAATTAGTGATAATGGTTGCAAAAGTCTTTGAATATACCAAAAAAACAACAACAACAAAAACCACACAACAACACTAAATGGTATATGTTAAAAGGATAGTTTTAATGGTATGTGAATTATATCTCAATACATTTGTTTTTAAAGAAAAAAATGTTGAGCCCTGTCTGGTTTGGCTCAGTGGATAGAGCGTCGGCCTGAGGACTGAAGGGTCCCAGGTTCGATTAGGGTCAAGGGCAGATGCCTGGGTTGCGGGCTCGATCCTCAGTAGGGGGCGTGCAGGAGGCAGCCGATCAATGATTCTCTCTCATCATTGATGTTTCTATCTCTCTCCCTCTCCCTTCCTCTCTGAAATCAATAAAAATATATATTAAATTAAAAAATATTGAGAGAAGGGGAAAGGGTGCCTAACATTGGGGAGAAGAGTTTGGTGAGAACGACATGATAAAGAGCTTCAACTTGATTCTGAAGGCCATGAGAGATGTTGAAGGATATTAAACAGGACTAACTGGCACAGTTAAGCACAGTGAATTGAAGTAAGAACAGTAATATATAAAGCTTCCTGTGATTACAGAATGAAGAGAGAATATAGAGGCAGAAAGGCAAATTGGGAGCAGGTGGTGATGGTGGTAACAATAACCTGGGTGAGAAATAATGAGGCTCTGAGCTAAGGAAGTGACCTAAGCATCAAGACTGAGATGAACCTTGGTCTTTCCACTGATAGGGAGGTAGGAGCATAGGACAGGCAGAGTGAAAGGATCAGTGGGAAGGTGACAGACAGCTAGAGAAAATGGGTGGCAGTTGTGAGCTGACCCAGGCTCAGGTGCTGCTACTGTCCCACTTCCTGGCAGCTCCTGTCCTCAAACAAACATAAGACTAGATAGAGGCAGGAACAAAATCGTGTGCTGGGCAGTGTATGTGCCAGGTGAGGGGTGGAGGCAGAAGCAGGTGACACCTGGCCCTGCTGCCATTCAGCAGCAACATGGGAGGGAAGGGCTCCCTGTAGAGTGGAGAGGCTGCCTCAACACCCTTCCTCAGCCAGGCAGAGGCAAGAAGATGGCACCTGAAAATTAAGGATCCGAATCAGGGAGGAAAAGGTGGGGGTAGGAGGAGCCAGAGACTACAGAAGGAAACTTCCCTTACTCCTAGCCTCTCCCAGCCCTCAGAGAGCTAGCAGCTGCCATGACCTCTTTACAAGGTCATTATGACAGGAATCTTAACAGAAAGAATCCCTGGGGGAAAGAATCCTTAAACTAGGGCTGGCCTGGTGGCCTAGGGCAAGTCACTTCTGCTTGAGTACAGAGTAATGAGACCCAACAGTCATTATAGTTTACTAAGTGCCCTAAAATTTGACATCTCATGCACTTGGAGATGTATGTTATCACCATCTTCATCACTGGAGTAAACGTGCCAAAAGGGCAAGGATTCTATATATTTTCTTCTCTGATGCATCCCAAATGCCTTAGACCAGTGACTGGCACATAGCCTACCCATGGTCGGCAAACTGCGGCTCTCGAGCCACACACGGCTCTTTGGCCCCTTGAGTGTGGCTCTTCCTAAGCCTTAGGAATACCCTAATTAAGTTAATAACAATGTACCTACCTATATAGTTTAAGTTTTAAAAATTTGGCTCTCAAAAGAAATTTCAATCGTTGTACTATTGATATTTGGCTCTGTTGACTAATGAGTTTGCCGACCACTGGCCTAGACAGTCAAAACTATTTGTTGTATGAACATTGGATAAATCTCATTTTCAGCCCATTTTACAAACAAACAAACAAGTTCTGAAGAGTGATTTGAAATGCCCAGGTTCACCTGGTCAGGAAGTAACAGAGCCAAAGCAGGAACTCAGGTTTAACCCCTCACTTAGTCCATGCTATTTCCACCACACACCTGCCCATCTCATCTGAGAAAGTGGAGGATGGAACCAGACGACCTTCTGGGCACTTTTGAGTTTGATGCTAGTGAGAAAGAGGCCTTAGATAGACAGGGAACCATGCCTCCAGCTCTTGGTTTCTCAAAGCTGGACCTCCACCCCAACCTTCCCAGGGCAGCCATCTGAGGCTACTTCACTCAGACCCTGCCCTGCAGGGAGCAGCAGAAGTCCTACAGAATGATCCAGGGGACAGAGGTGTGGACCTGAGGTCAATGCATCCCCTCCTCTGTACAGGCATTTATTTAGTCAACAAGCATTTCCTGGGTGCCACTCCTGCTGGGCCTCAGGCTGGCTCTGGGAGGGAGACACCAGGGGTGGGGAGCACAGAGGCAGGCAAGACAGACTCACGCCTGGCTGCAGGAGGCCTGGTTGAAGCGACAGCTGAAGATGAAGTTGCCCAGCTTGTCCTCTTCCAGGGATGTGAAGGAGTCTGGTAGTCTCGACAGAATGTTGATGTAGTGGAAGCGGTACCACTCCCTCACCGCATCCACCCCTGATGAGTATGTCTGGTAGAAGCAGTCGGATTTGTTCTGGTTACACTGGAAACAGAGACCAGAGCGTCAGAGGGCCAAGATCAAGGACTGAAGGGTCTGGGGTCCTGAGGACTGACAGACAGGAGTGGGGAACCAGGAGTAGACCAGAACAGAAGGCAGAGAGGAGCAGAAGCCCGTTGGAGAGTGGACCAGAGGGCATGGGATTAAGGGAGTGGGGGGCCGAGGAGACCAGAAGCTGTCATTTATACAGTCTCTGCCAGAGAGTGGAGCAAGGATTCTTCTCCCCATTTCACTGATGGGAAGACTGAGGGACCAACAGGTTTGTCCCAGCAATAGAGCTAGGACTAGCTAGCTATGATTAAAGGAGGCTTCTCTTTCTTCTTCCCCCTGCTGCTCTCCCACTTCCTCTTCCTCTCTTTCTTTCTTTCTTCTTCTTCTTTTTTTTTTCTTCTTTTTTAGAGAAGAGATCGGGCACATTCAGGGTGGTATGGCCTTTCTCTATTTTTTAAAATTTTTCATTGAAACACATTTTAAGTCTGCGTTTTCACAGTCTCCTGATTCTCTGCCTGAGACCTGCAAAACCCCGGTTCCCTATCACACTGGAGGTTCCCAAATAAGTCCCACCAGGGGACCTGTATTTCAGAAAGGGGCATTTTCCACAGCAGATTTGACTTCCGGCCACCTAAACGCTCCCACAGAAGCCCCCGGAGAGGAGAGACCCCACAAGCTGACTCTCAGAGATATGTTATTTCGTTTTATTTTTCAAAATGTATTAATTTTGACAGCCAGCTGCCGAAGCGCTGGCTCATCACTAGCCAACAGAGGCGGGTGGGGAAAGGGCGCGGGTCCGGGGAGTGGGCGGAACCGGAAGGGCGTGGGCTGGCACGTCGGGCGGGGGGGAGGGGGGCGGGCCATTAGTGGGCGGGGGCCTGTGAGCGGGAGGGGCGGGGCCTGTGGGAGCCGGGGGCGGGGCCTGCGGTGGGCGGGGCCTTACCAGCTTGAAGCCGATCTTCCAGTCCTTCCAGTTCACCGGGGGGTTGTTGTCCCGCAAGCTGGAGGCGGCGCTGCGGGCTTTGCGGGCCGCGTGGGGCGAGGCCGGGTCCCACAGGAGCTGCAGGGGGTGCGGCAGGGTCTCCCGGAGGCCGCGGCGGCCGCGGGGGTGGCTCCCGAAGGTGTTCAAGGAGTTGTATTTGTACAAGTCGGAGAGCGTCTGCTCCGTGATGCGGTCCAGCTCCTCCAGATCCCCTTTCATTTGCGTGTACCTGGAGGGGCGATGGGGAAAGGGTCGGCTGGGGGGCAGCTCGCCTGGCCTTTGGGCCTCAGTTTTCTCCTCTGAAACTGGTGAGGCGGAAGGAGGGGGGTGGACAGGTGTGTCCGCCGGGATTAGCGGAGGCGACAGTGAGCCCCAGCGGTGACGGCATTTATCGTGGCCAGTGTCCTGTTTATTGAAAGGGAGAGGCAGGCGGCGCCGGCCGATGAGGCGCTGTCCTCCCACTCGCCGCGGCCTAGAAGGGAACCCGGAACTGTGTACCCCTCCCAGAGACAGAAGAGGGGGTGACCTTGACCTGGGCCCCTCACTCATCCCACCCGAATCCCCTCGGGGGGGGGGGGGAGGGCGGGGGAGGGGGGCCTTTGGTCCTGTCTGCCACCCCGCACCTTCTAAACCAGGGGTTCTCAATTGCACTTCTACCGAGGAACTTCAAAAAATACCAATGCTGCACACTAACTGCCCCTCCCCACCAGGATTAGATTTTAATGAGTTTTGGGTGGGGCCCAAACTCCCTAAGTTAAACACTGCAGGATAAATAATCACATTCTTCCTAATACTGGTCCTCTTACCGTCTCTATCATGAAAGTACAGAGTAGCAGGGCCTTAGGGATAGAACCTTCCAAAACAAAACACACACACGCACACGGACACACACCTAGAAGTAATAGATTAAACAAGGTTGCAGGATACAACATCAATACACAAAAATTGATCATATTTCTACATACTAGCAACAAAAAATTGGGAAATGAAATCATAAAAACACCATATTAAATAGCATAAACAACATCAAATACTAGAAATAAATTTAATGAAAGATGTGCAAGACCAACCTCTACACTAGAAATCCTGCTGAGTGCAAAGAACAAAAAAAATGGAGAGTTATATATGTTTATGGATCAGAAACCCAATGGAGTTAAGATGTCTCCCAAATAGATCTTTAGATCCAACACAATCCCTATAAAAACTTCAGCAAACATTATTTTAAAGAAATTGACAGGCTGGTCCTAAGACTTATATGAAAATGGAAAGAATTCAGAAAGGCCAAAACAATTTTAGAAAAGAAGAGCAGAGTTGGAGTACTTACTCTTCCTGACTTTAAGACTTACTGTAAAACCACAATAATCAAAATAGGGTAGTACTTATGTAAGGACAGACAATAGATCAATGGAACAGAATAAAGTCCAGAAATTAATTCACACATATATGGTCAACTGATTTTTTCCTAAAGCACCAGTCCAATTCAATGGGGAAAATGTGTGTGTGTGTGTGTGTGTGTGTGTGTGTGTGTGTATTGATTTTAGAGAGAGAGGAGGGGAGAGGGAGAGGGAAAGAGAGAAACAGCAATGCAATAGATGAGTTGCCTCATACACACACACCGACCTGGGGAACCCAAAACCTAGGTATGTGCCCTGCCCAGGAATTGAACCAGTGACCTTTTGGTGAATGGGATGACTCTCAACCAACTGAGCCACATCAGATGAGGCAGTAAAATAACTTTTTTTAAACATTTGGCGCTGGAACAATTTGTATACTGTACTGGAGGAAAAAAATGATCTTCAACCTCTACCTCAGTCCATACACAAAAATTAAGGCATAGACCCAAGCATAAAATTCAAAACCATAAAGACTCTCAAAGATATACATTGAGTGTCCAGATTATTGTGACCACCTGACGTTTGTAGGCAAATTAGCTATAATTTCGCGCTGAAGTTGCTAGAGGGCCAGACCATTATAAATAGGGAAGCAGGTTGTTTTCCACGACAGTAGAAGTGATTTTTTCCCCCTGAAGATATGGGTAAACAACACGATTTAACAGCCTTTGAACGTGGGATATAGTATATATACTGTATATCTTCATGACCTTGGGATATATATCTTCATGACCTTGGGATAGGCAGACATTTGGAGGATAAATATCTATGGAAGAACTCCTCCTGAAATATAAAGACCTCTGGCAGCTCCAGCTGCAGCCTCATCCCCTAATAGGAGAAAATGTAGCTCAAGTTGAAGGTGTGTGTGTGATATTCTGAGAGATTTGTTTGTTACTGGTAATTAAAAGAATAGCTGTAATAGCTAGTATTTATTGAGCCAGGCACTGTGGTATTAGAATGTACATTATTTAATGTAATCTTCAGAGTAATTCAGCATACTATTAACCACTGTTAGCTAATACTATTGCCATTCCCTTTTACAGATGAAAAACCTGAGGCGGGTGACTTGTTCAAGGTCACACAATGCGGAAGTGGGTCAGAAAGCTCTCTAGCCATCACACTGCCCTTCACTGTGTCCCTACCAGCTCTGGCTATTTCAGGAAGTTGTAAAGGTGCCCCAGAACGAACACCAGAGTTAGTCGGCTGGATGTGGGTCCTGGTGTCCCAGTCACACTTTCTAACTGTGTGATGTTGGTAAGGACACTTTCTGAATCCAACCTATTTCCTCATCTGTAAAGTGGGCCTTACACTTCGATCAGGCAGGCATTACTATCTCCATTTTCCAGTTGAGGGATCTGAGGCCCATCAAAGCGAAGAGGCCATCAAATATCAGCAAGACACAGATCGGACCCAGAAGCCCAAATGTCTTCCTCGTAGTCACATTGCAAGGATCCAGGTGCCCCAACTTAGCTGGAGTTATTTTCACAACATGAGCCATCACATCCCTGCCTGGGCCCCCATCCCAACCTGTCTCAAGTCCCTCTGTGCCCCTCTTCTGCCTCCTGCACCTCCCTCATTCTCATCACCAACTCCAAGCTGTCTGTCACTTCTCAAGCCACATCTCTCTTCTCCACTGAGCCCATGCTGTGCCTATGCCAGGCTCACCCTTCAGTGGCCCTCCTCATATTCACCTCCCTCCTGCCTCTTCCAAAGAGGCCTTTGTTGACCAGCTCCTCAACTCCCACCTGTGACAAGGCCCCCAGGCTCAGTACAGAATGCCATCACTCCCCAACCACTGCTTCTCTCCCCTTACAGTATTTAGCTTGAGGCAGCAAGAAGTATTCCCATATCACCCCTTCAATAAAGAAACACTCTCTCCCTTTCAGTTAACACCTAGCACTAAAAAACTGCCCACTGAGCAAAACCACTGATTACATCAGATCATGTCCTGCAAGAAGAAGGACCCAGGTGAGAAGTAACCAGGGCTGAGGGTGTGTAGAATGCAGACAAGAGGGCTTCAGCAAGACAGTCCAGCCCTTCTAACCTTGACCTCCTACCCAGGTCATGGTCACCACCCTCATCTTCATCTGCTCTGGCAGCCCTGCACTGGGGGAGGGGGGGAGGGTGAACCGTTGCATAATTCGATCAGGCAGGCATTACTATCTCCATTTTACAGTTGAGGGATCTGAGGCCCATCAACCAGGCAACTTCCCCCAAGGTCACTCAGCTAGGACGTACAGGGAGTAAGATATGAACCCAGCCTTTTTGGACTCCATGGCCGCAGCTGTTTTTACGACTCTGCCTTGAGGCTTGGAAACACTTAAGACTAGGCAGCATGCTCTAACCAGTTTGGCTCAGTGGATAGAGCGTCAGCCTGCGGACTCAAGGGTCCCAGGTTCGATTCCGGTCAAGGGCATGTACCTTGGTTGCAGGCACATACCCAGTAGGGAGTGTGCAGGAGGCAGCTGATCGATGTTTCTCTCTCATCGATGTTTCTAACTCTCTATCCCTCTCCCTTCCTCTCTGTAAAAAATCAATAAAATATATTTTTTTAAAAAAAAAGACTAGGCAGCAAAATCTTTCCTGGCAGCTGGCCATCTCCCCTCCAGCCCTTCTTCTCCACCCAGGACAGACTGGCAGGGTCAGGGACACTGGGAGCCTTGGGGTTGATACCCTGTTCTCTTCCTACCTGTGTCTCCTCCTCCCTCCCTCTTTCCCCTGGATGATCTCCTCTCACATGATCTTCATGCTCAACAGGCAACCTTGGGATTAGCCCAAACCCTCATCCCACACACACACACACACACCAGGCAGCCCCTAGCTGAGCACTCTCAGTCAGCATTCTGGAAGTACGAGACAGGACTGGGCACCGGAAACTCACCAGCTTCCTCCCCTGCCATGTGCATCTGGGGACCTAGCCCTCCTTCCTCCAGGATCACTGAAGCCTTCACTTCCCCAGCTCCATTCTCCTCCACATCTCAGCACCTCCAACCTGTCTCCCAGCTTGGGAGACATGCTCCCTCCACCGTGGCCCCTATATGAACCCGGCCTGCACCACAGCATCTCCTCACCTGGGGACAGCCCACCCCTCCAGAATTGGTTCTGAGCTCTCAGATCACATGTGGAAGCAGCCCTGGCTGTGACATTTTAAGAGTAATAGATGCTCACAAACCAATAATTATTCAGAGGATAGACGACTAGGGTAGTGAGAGCTCTAGAAACCATTTCATCCAGGGAAAAGACACAGGAACTAAGTTCTAACCAGGCTCATAACCTTGCCAGGTTAGGCAGTTAGCCTTGGAGAAGTTACTTATCCTCTGTGCCTCTGTTTCACCATCTATACAATGGGAGTATTGATAGGACCTGCTGCATGAAGTTGCCATGAGAATGAAACGAGCTAACCTATGAAAAGTAGTACAGCTCAAAACACCTGGCCGAGTAGGTACGGTACAACTGCTGCTGTTGTTCTTATTATCATTACTGTTACTATCACTATGATTGGAGAAGAAAACGCTAAGGAGACACAGGAGCACTGCCTGCCAGGCATCTATCATGTGACTCTGGTCTTAATAAAAGTGGATCCTAAGACCAGATTCCAATTCTGATCCCTCCACTTAACAGCTAGGTGATTGCAGAGCCTCCATATTCTCATCTGCCTCGAGGGTGGTATTTCTCTCCTCACCTAACAAGCTGGTTAGAGGATCAGAAAGCAATCGTGGACTTTGCAAGCTGTGACACAGTTTCTGCTCTCCTAGGGGCACCAGAGCTGATGACCCTGGGTAAAGAAGGAGGCAATGTCTTTAGGGTTGCTTCAAAGAGACAGAACCAAGACCAGAGGGCAGATACTATCATGAGGTCAGCTGCAGCTTTAACTGAGGAAGAACTTTCTTACAGCAGCTTCCCAGAGATAGTGAGGTTCCTGAGCCCATCACTGAGAGGACAGTGGGAGGAGTCGGCTTTAAGGGTCTGGGTTTCTGTCCCTGCTAGGCCTGCCACCCCAGACCCTGACTTCTGGATCCTGCAGAAAGTATAGATCTCCCCACCAGGGATAGGGACAGGAAGACCTAGCTCAGATTCCTGCCCTCCCTCCCTGCAGCTTCTCCCTTTGGGGAACGGCCCCTCTCCTCACCCCATTCCTGCTGCCCTGCCTCCTGCTCTGCCATCTCAGGAAAGTCCATGACCTCCTTCGTTGTTAAGAATCTCAAGTCCTTCCATAACTCAAGCCTAAATCCTTCTAAGAATTGGGTGAAAAGTTATGTTCTGTTTTCCATAGATGGGAAGACTGGCCCTCTCTCTTGGGTGAACAAAACCTTTTCCTGTGTTGGCCGGAAAGAAAGGAACCACAGTGGCTGACCCTTTACATTGGACTCTAGAACATCCTTGCTTAGAGTGGTAGGTCTTTAGCCTTTACCCCTTTCCTGGAAGTTACGAAGCAGCAGAGAATCCTGCACCTCCTCCTCCTTCCTCCCTCTCTGCTGGCCCTGCCCAGCGGCCACTAAGTGGGCATCCCTGGTCTGATTTTGCCTCATTCGGTTACCTTGCCTACTGACTCCCACCTCCTCCCTTCTTCCCCTGTAGGCGTCATTCATCTCACCTCTGCTTCCTGCACCTGCCACCGGCATGATTCACACTTGGGTCACTACCTACCAGGCTGCATTAACTTATCCACCCACTCCTGCCTCTCTTCTTGAACAGAAGCCAACAGCCCTAGACCCCTCCCTCCTGTACTCCTGACTAGTACCCCCTCCTCTTACTGCTGCTGTTCCCCAGGGACTCTCACCAGCTGCCCTCCCTCCCTCCACCCCCCAACACTGGATGCCTCTACCTGGACCCTCAAAGTGCAATGGGAGAAAGAGCTTTGAAATCAAACACATTTGATTTGTTACTCGGCTGCTAACCGGGGAGGCACTGGCTTCTGGGGATGGGGGCGGGGGGATTGTTTTTTAATCCCAGGTTTACTGCCTGCTTCCTGTGTTAACTTGGGCAAGTTATTTAACCTCAGTTTCCTCTTCTATAACATGAGAGTAATACTGGTACGTACTTCAGAGGTCTGTGGTGAGGATTAAATAATTAATGTAGAATTTAATTTGTCTGACACATATTAAGTTTATGTAAGTTTTAGCTCTTGGTGCTCTTGTTGTTGCTTTAGTTGCTGTGTGACCTTGCTCAATTGTTTCGCCTCCATTTCCTCTTCTGCAAAATGGAAATAATAATAACGCCTGCCTCCATGGGCTTGTCGGGATTAAATGAGGTAGTGCTTGTAAAGCATCCAGTATCCGGTCGAGCACATAGTAGGTATTCAATAACCTTCCTCTGCACAGAGGAGCTTCCCCTTTCTCCCCTCCCTTCCTGGGTGCTCTCTCCACTAAGCCCTGCAGCAGCCCAGCCCATCATGCATGAGAAATTTTTTTTTCTTTTTTCTTTTTTTTAATTGATTTCAGAGAGGAAGGATGAGGGAGAGAGAGATAGAAACATCAATGATGAAAGAGAATCACTGATGGGCTGCCTCCAGTACGACCCCTACTGGGGATCAAGCCTGCATCCTGGGCATGTGCCCTAACTGGGAATTGAACCATGACCTCTTGGTTCATAGGTCGGTGCTCAACTACTGAGTCACACCGGCCGGGCACAAGGGATTCTTTCTGTATGGGTGCCTGTCTCCCGGCCTTCAGGCACATGGAGGCAGAGGCTCTGGTTTTCATTCTCTGAGGCTTTTTCCTGGACTGTCCAGGGCCTGCACCCAACAGAACCTTAGAAAATATGCAGGCCTCAACAGATTCACCCCTGCCCTCTCCATTTCTCACCTACATCGTTCAACCTCAATAGTTTTTGAGCACCTACTACTCTGCCTGTTGTCCCTCCTGCTTGCTAGCCCTTCCCTCCCTGCTGGCTCAGAGCAGTCCAGTGTCCCTCCTCTCCACCAAGGCCAAAGGCAATGAGGGGTGGGGAAAAGGGGGAAGGATTAGGGCAGAAGAGCTACAGAGGGCCAGGAAGAAGAGGAGCAAAGCCAGTGGCCACCCAGGGAAGAGAAAAGAGGCTGAGGGAGGAATAATAAAGAACTGGGAAATGACATGTAAACATCTCAGGAAACTTCACCTTATTCTACATCCCGCATCTTGGGTATTGAGACGAGGTAGGGGTTTGTGATCAGGCAAACAGAGGGTAAGTCACAGCTCAGTTACTATCTCTGTGGCCCTGTGAGTTGTCTCTTTTTGCCTCAGTTTCTTCAAGTGCCCAGTGGGGTATTAATAGTACCTGTCTTGGAGGATTGTTGGGAGAATTAAAGGAGAGGCCTGTAGAGGACTCAGTAGTGCCTGGTGCATAAAGCAGCTTCGTAGTAAATGGCCCCTTACCCTGGACACTCTACAAAACAGCCCAGCAGTTTTTTCCCTGCAGGACAGGACGTCCTAACCCTTATTAGCCCAAGACACACCTTTGGGTACAATAGACTATATGGGACCTTCACCGCCAACATGTGACCAAACCCAATCCTCCATTGCACGCACACCCAATGTGTTTGCTCACCCACATACACACACTCACACAATTGCAAACACACGCACCCACAAATCTTCCACTCCTTGAAGGTAGAGACTAGACCTCACACAATCTTTATTATAATTAGCACAGTGCGCTGCAGGCATTTGTCTATATGCCTCGCGCTTCCATTTTTTCTTTCCCCGTACCCGGCAAACTACCTGGCCTTCCATGAAAATTATATGAATTGTTAAGAAGCCCATCTGCCAGGTGCCTAGCCCTGTGTCTGGCTTGCGGCAGGAGTTCCCACCATGCTGCATGGCTGAGTGACCACAAATACAAGGTACATACAAACACCAGCCCCACCCTCCTTTCTTCTCCACAGTTTACCACCCCCTCTGGCTTCCAGACCAAACGTTGGCAAAAAGCACTGACGAGCCCTAACTGGTTTGGCTCGGTGGATAGAGCGTCGGCCTGTGGACTCAAGGGTCCGGGGTTCAATTCCGGCCAAGGGCATGTACCTTGGTTGCAGGCACATACCCAGTGGGGAGTGTGCAGGAGGCAGCTGATCGATGTTTCTCTCTCATCGATGTTTCTAACTCTCTATCCCTCTCCCTTCCTCTCTGTAAAGAATCAATAAAATATTTTTTTTTAAAGCACTGATGAAACCCCAAAACTTCAGGACACAACCAGGCTCCTGGGCAGGGGTCACCTCCCCGTTTCCGCCTGGGTCTTTGGGCGACCAGCTGGACAAGGGAGCAGGGGAACAGCTATCCTGTCCCATTCTTCTTCTGGCTCCCTAACTCTCCACCCCCAATCTCAAGACTCACCATTGCTTTGCCGCCATCCCTCATTTTGCTTTCTCCAACACAAACTCCCCATCTGACCCAAGACAGACATAGCAGGGTCTAACCCCTGCCAGCTCCCACCACCCATGCCATAGCACCTGAGATAGGTTCTTCTCTGGAGGAGGAGGCCCTGTTCTTTGCTCTCCTCTCCCTCCAGGGAAAGGCTGGGGATGACCTCCACCCTGCCCTTTGGGAAGTTACCAGCATCTTGACCTCATCAGCGCCCCCTACTGCTTGCAGGAGGAAGGGAGGAGGAAGGCACTGTTGGTCCAACCACCACACTTTGAATAAGCCTTGGGCACTAGGAAAACTCCACTGGAAAGAACTGCCAGCCCAGCAAGTGGGGAGCTCCCAATCTTGCCCAAAGGGAGGTCTGCCTGGGGGCGGTTTTGGCTTCTACCCCTGGACCCGAGGGTCTGCCTGCCCAGTGGGCACCTCGGTACCCTCTGCGCCACCCTTGCAGGCACCAGGAAGTGGCGGGGGGCCCAACTGACCTGTAGGGATTGAGGGTGCAGACGGTAACGGCGGGGAAGACAAGCTTGTCGGAGTTGAGGTTGATGTTGAGGCTGACAGGGTAGCTGAAGTACTCTTCGAACAGCAGGGCGAACTGCCAGTACATCATGCCGAAGGTGCAGAGCCAGAGCACGGCCCAGAAGGCCGTCTTCATGCGGTTGTGCTGGGAGCACACCAGGCGGATGGCGCCGTGGATGGTGGTGTTGTTGCAGAAGAACTGGAACAGGTCTCGGTAGGAGCGGTGGAACTCGATCAGGGCCTCCTCCTCCTCCGTGGGCTGCAGGGGGGCCGCCGCCAGCTTGGGGTCTGGCCCCGGCTCCTCGCACTTGTCTCCCTTCATGAGCCCTTGGTGAGTCGTGGAGGGTCAGGGTCAGGGTCAGGGCAGAGTTCTGGGCTCCAAGTGCCCTTCCCATCATCAGCCTGACCCCAGAGAGAGGCTGCTCCAGGCCATGCCCACCTCCCACTCCTCCCTCCCTCCACCTGCCCAGGAGCCCGCTGACCTGCTGGAGCCAGGGCCAGAGCTGGAGCTGGGTTTCGCTGGAGTGGCCTCTCCTCTGCTTCCCTGATAAGGTCACCTTTTGGTTTCAGTCCCAGAACCTCCCTTTTCGTTTCCTCAGCCATCAGCCTCTGCTAGGTAGTCAGTCCCGTTCTTGGTCTCTCTCTCTCTCCCCCTCTCCCCCCACCTCTCTCTCCTTCTCTTGGGTTTCTTTCCCAACTCTCTCCTTCCTCGCCCGGCTCCTCTGTGTGCCAGGCTCTCTGATCCTGCCTCTCTTCCTCTTCCTCCCCCTCTCCCCTCTCAGTCCAGGTTCTCTCCTCCAGTCTCCCGTCCTGCTCCTGCCTGGTCTGTGTCCTGACTCGCTGTGTCCTGACTCCCTCCGTCCCAGGTCCCAAGGATGGCAGGTCTCCAGGAGTCCTGGCTGCCACCTGCTCCCCACTCCCAAGTTGTGACTGGACTGGGACTGGTTCCTTTCTAGCTGAATCTGGCAGCCAAGAGCCTCTCCTCCCCCTCACCTGACAGGTGCAGAGACCGGCCTGGGAGCCCGCCTGCCGGCCGGGGTGGAAGCAACAGAAGCCTCATTAGCATCTCAATTAAAGGTGAGCAGGGCAGAGCGGGGGAGGGTCAGAGGAGGAGTCTGAGCTGAGAACCAGGAGGAGGAGGACTCCTGAGGGCTGACCTGGGAGTAGGGACAGAGAAGCAGAGTCGGCCTGGGGAGTGATAGGAAGCTGACAGGCAAGGAACAGACTGGCAAGTGAGAGTCAGAAATCTTGACTGGGGAGAAGGATCCCGAACACAAAGCTAGGAGGGCAAAAACGAGGAAAACAGACAAGCCAGGACTGTGAGACTAAGGGGGAGAGACCAGGAGAGCAGGAAAGGCAGAAAAAGGGAGACCGGTGCAGGAAGGACTGGGAGGGGGCATGGAGGAGAGGCAGAGAGAGGAAGGTGAAAAGGCGGGAGCCAGCCCCAAAGGGACTCTCCCCTCTCCTGCAGGAGAGCAATGGAGGGAGGCTCAAGTGGGCTTCCAGGAGCTAGTTCCCCTCCCTGGGGAGTCCCTCCAAGGGCACCCACAGGTCAGCCTCACCCCCCAGGTGGTGGAGAGGATTCTAGTGGGAGTACCTCCTGGCACTCAGCACGAAGCTCCCCTCTGCCTCTCCCTCCTGGTTTATCCTCTTCCCTCCTGAGTTCTCACCATCACCCCCTACCTTGTCCAGGCCAGGGAGGGGCCCAGGTGAAGCTGGGGGCTAGGCGGGGCCCTGGGACATTCTGTTCTTTTTTACACCATTGGCTGCCAGACCAGGAATGTGTAATGTCCCCTGTTGTGGTCACGGGGTTGCAGGAATGTGGGCACTGAGAGGCAGGTAGGGGACAGGCCGGGGCACTTAGGCACAGACCCGGAGCCCAGGGACAGCAGGCACTGAGGGGGCAGGGAGGGATGTGGGTCGCATTGGGCGTCCGGGAGGAAGAGGGCAGGCATGGCCAAGTCTACACCAGCCCTGGAAGGAAGGAAACGCTCATTGTCGGGGCTTTTCCTCCAAAGTCTCTTCCCAAACTTAATCCAGCAAGAGCATAAACAGTAAAATACCAAGCAGAGAGGGCAGGGTCAGAGAATCAGGCCCAATAAGAGGGTCCAAACAGGCACAGGATACCCATCCACACAGCCCAGGCCCCTTGTGAGAGCGAGAGGTCGACCCCTTGTGGACCCTCAGCAGGCAGCCCCGAGTGTGCTCACTGGTTTCTCCTTCCTCCTTGCTTCCTCAGAGGAGCAGGCATGGGCATCCCGCTGACGTGCCCAGCACAGGCACTGATACCGGGTGGAAGAAGACAGGCCTGCAATATAGGAAGAGGAGGATTCTAGTGGCAGAGATCAAAGCCCTGGGTTTGCCCTGGCTGGTTTGGCTCAGTGGATAGAGCGTCGGCCTGTGAACTGAAGGGTCCCGGGTTCGATTCCGGTCGACGGTACATTTCCTGGTTGTGGGCTCGATCCCCAGTGGGGGGGCATGCAAGAGGCAGCCAATCAATGATTCTCTCTCATTGATGTTTCTCTCTCTCTCTCCCTCTCCCTTCCTCTCTGAAATCAATTATATATATATATATATATATATATATATATATATATATATAATATATATATATATATATTTAAAAAGCCCTGGGCTTAGTGAGCCTGGGGAGGGAGGGAGAGACTCTAGCCTGGAGAGAGTCACGAAGACTTCCTGGAGAAGGTGGCATCTCAGGTGGGTGTTGTAAGGAACAACAGGGACTTTAGCAGGCAAAGAAGAGGGAAACAGGGAACTCTAGGCTCAGGATACAACCAGGGTGCTTTCTGTCTGGGCAGTCTCTTGTGGCCTCTTAAAGCGAGAGCTACTGTCAACCAGGATGCCAAACCCAGTCCTGTTTTTTTCCTTTGATGTCTGCTGGGGACACCCAGCTGAGAAGGGAAAGGCTGGCTTTTTCTTCATTTTCCAGGTGAATAAACTGAGCCTCCACAGAGATAAGCCAGTTGTATGAGGGCACAAAGCAAAATAGCAACTGAGGGAAAACAGAATCAGAATTCTCCTCCTCTGGGGTTGTCTACTTAGGGCTTTTGCCATTTACTTCCCTAGACAGACCAGCCACAGGCTCCAGGGGAATCGGGCTACTCTGGCCCTGGTTTTGAAAGCCAGGAAGGTTCCCACATTCACACAGAGTTCATGGATTCACCAGCAGTCTGGTCCTGGATTACCTCCCTGGCCCTGCAAAAACCTCTCTACCTTGTTCCCACCTTCCCAGGGGACCCAGACACCCCTAGAAGCTCCATTATCCCTTGATCCAGGTCCTTAACTTAGAGACAATCCTGCCTACAAATGGGATGGCAGCGCCCAGCCTGTTTGACCTCAAAGGTTCTGAGAGACACCCCCCTGCCTTTTCCATCTGCTGCCTGGGCCTGAAACCCCGCTGCTGGCTTACGGAAGCACAAGCAAATAGTTTTCATCTCAAGGGCTCTGGGAGGAGAGCTGCAAGGGCCAGGTCTGGGCTGAGCGGGAGTGCGGTGTCCCTGCAGCTGCCTGCCAGGGTACAGGGTGGCAGCTCAGAGACCGCAGCAGCCTGGATCTGGAACTGGCCAGAGCAAGCTTGTTGTTGGGAGAAAAACAGAAATCTGAAACCTGCACTTTTGTCATAGCTCCATTTTAAATATTATCTTTCAAAGTGCAGAAATGCCCAAATACATTTTTTGTGGCAATACAATTTTCCAGTAATACGTAAGTGGGCAGAACTCTGAAAGCTTCTCTTAGTCCCATGCCTTTCCCACCCCTCAGCCCAAGGGGAGCCAATGTAATTGATGTATCCATTTCTATCTTTTTGGTGCCTGTATAGACTTGCACGTATTTTTTAAACATATCTTTATTATTGAAAGTATTACAGATGCCCCATTGACCCCCTCTACCGTGCACTCATATATTCTGAGTTTCATTTTTGCCTTTAAACTCTGGTCCTAGCTGGTTTGGCTCAGCAGATAGAGTATTGGCCATGTGGACTAAAGGGTCCCGGGTTCAATTCCCAGTCAGGGCACATGCCCAGGTTCTGGGCTCAATCCGCAGTAGGGGCTGTGCAGGAGGCAGCCGATCCATGATTCTCTCATCATTGATGTTTCTCTCTCCCTCTGCCTTCCTCTCTGAAATCAATACTGTGTGTGTGTGTGTGTGTGTGTGTGTGTGTGTGTGTGTGTGTGTACTCTGTATGTGACTTTGAAAATGACACTTGACCTCTCTGAAAAACAAAATGGCAGGAGTGGGTGGATAAGGCAGCCCAGACGGTTGCAAAGGCCCTTCCCAGCTGACTCTGCAACTAGCTGCTTGCTTCACACATGAGGGAACTGAAAAGCCCAGAGAAGCAAAGCGACTTGCCCACAGTCACCCAGGGGTTTCAGTGGGGCCAGATTCAGAGCTGAGCCTCCGCTCTCCAAGTTCAGTGCCGCTCCCCTAACTTCCAGAGAAGCCGAGTCTTGTTCTGTGGGGACCTGGGGTCTTGCAGACTTTGTCTTGGAAGCTACCCCAGCTTCTCTCAGAGCTCCAGTCCTTCCTTCCTTCCTTTTAGGGCTGCCTCCCCCCACCCAACACCAGCCATACTCTAACCCTGTGGTGTGGCCATAAAATGTGCACAGGCTACAGGGAGAGAAGTGAAACAAGAGGGTCTGTAGTGGGATGAGGGTTATGAGTTCAAAGGGTCTTCCTGCCTCTTGCTCTCTGGGGAACAGGAGACTATAGAAGTAACCACTTTCTCCACCACACTTCGAGACAGAGCCGTGTTTAAAACACAATTGCAGCACTTCCATCTGCATACTGTTCTTATCCTGGTGTGTGCGTGTGCATTTGTGCATCTACATATGCATGGGTCATCTTATGAGTTCTCTGAAGTCAGGCACCAGGCGTATTCATCTTGGTGGCCCTACTTGCTGACCCACTGTGCAAAAGACACCAGAATTAGCATCTGGGGTAAGACCCAAGGTTCCTTTTTGACTGAGAGTGACATATATGACAAAGCACCCCCACTACATCTTAATTTCCTCTGGCAACCCGTTCATTTGTGCTCTATTAATTAACCTACATTTTATTCGCTTTTTCCATTTCAGCCTGTATCCTTTCTAGGGTAAAAATGTGTCATTCATTGAAGTGGAACTCTTTAGTTTTAAAAACGTAGAGATAATTAGCCTCTCCACAGTGGCCACCCCAGTGTGGGGAAAAGTGGTTCTTTCATCTGCACTTATATAGCATGAATTTCTCTTTAATCTAAAATGATGCCCCAGAAAATCCCTTCCAGCCACTCCTAGTCCAGTTACCTGGCCGGATGCATAGACGTTCACCATCACAAGTTTATTCCTTTGGTTGAAGGCAGGAATTTTCAACCTTGGCTCTATTGACATTTAGACAATTAATTGTCATGGGAAGTACTGCCCTGTGCACCATAGGATGCTTAGCGGCATCCCTGGCCTCTACCTACTAGATGCCATAGTATCCCCTGAATTGTGACAATCAACCCCTCCAGATGTTGCCAGATGTCTCCTGGGGGGCAAAGTGACCCTAGTTGAGACGACTGGGCTAAGGGATTGTCCCCAGTGGTAGTGGAAATGCTCTAGAGAAGGACAATGCTCATCAAATACACGTTTCTCAGTGTTTATCAGACCCTTTCCAAGGGTCTGAATTAATTCTCACCAACCCCCTTTGGGTTCTTCATGGGCCTGTGGGAAGAAGATTCACTCAGCAATCTCCTCCAAAGAAGGCTTGGGAGAAGTGCCCCACCCACCCACATTCTGAGAGTCTATGGGGCACTTAGTCTGAGGCTGGTGTTGCCCAATGGAAACCAGTAACACTTCAAGGAAGCTGGCGAAGAGCATGAAAGAAAAGAAGCAGAGACAATGCCCTGATCACAAAGAATCCATGGATTCCTCACTCCTGTGAGTCTCCCTTCATCCTCTTGGAAAAGGTTGGGTAGACATAAAAACCATGCATTGACAAGATTTGTCAATCATGGTCTATCTGGGAAACAGGAAACACTCTAAATCTTTCAAACAAAAGAAATTTAACACAGGCAACTGGTACATGGCTGATGGAGGAGCCAACAGGAGACAGTGAGGCAACCTAGAAAACAGCAAAGCAGGAAGCAGCTATCATCTCTAGGGCTGGAAAGACAACAGGGTAATGTCACATTATAGACCCAGAAGCCTCCAGAGCTATTTGCCAGGAACTAAATAGTAGGGGCTGCCTGGTAGGACATGGGGTTATGGAAGAAGAGAAGGAAGAAACACAGCCAACTGCAGGCGATGTTAGAAAGCAAATGTGGGGTGAGGGTGGTGGAGAAACAGCCTGGCTTCTTCTCTCTTCCCACCCACCTGTCCTCCACCTACCTGTCTTCCTATTGGCTGACCCTATCCAGCAGCCAGAGGGGAAAGGAGTCTGGGAAATGTAGTTCTCAGTAGAGATACAGCTCAGAACAGGGGAAGGGTAGAGAACAGATCTGCAAGGAAACCAGTCATTGACTAGCACAAATAAAAGAGCCCCAGAGAGGTGAAGTGG